AGGAGGAGGAGAAGGAGGAGGAGGAAGAGTACGGCGGTAGGTAGCAGTGGGTGGCAAGCCGAGGGTGGTAAAGGAGTCAGAGGATGAGAAGTAGGAAGAGATGGAGGAGGGATCGGGAGTAGGAGGAGAAGGAGGAGGGCGGTTGGTTGAGACGCGGAGGTGCAGGCGAAGGAGAGAGAGTCCGTTGGGTTGGGTTGGTTTGCACCAGCACCACCAGCACCGACATGGCTCCAAGCGAAGGAGAGGATGGGGTAGGATGGCCGGGCCTCTGCTCGCTCGATAGAGGCGCGTCCCGTCGTCCCATGATTGGAAACCAAATCGCCGCACATCCATCCCCCTCCTCCTCCTCCTGCCTCCGACCCATCCTCTGCCTCAGCGATTCTCTTCCACCCCCGAGGACCCCCTGGCCACCGACTATCCACCCTTACTCTCAGTCCTCGCAACCCTATCCAGAGCTTACTCCCTGCAACTATCTCTCTCTTTCTGTCTCTCTCTTTATTTCCTATCTTTCTCTTTCCCTTTACATCCTCCCTTCCCTATCTCCCTCTTTTCTATATATCTGCTACACGCGCTCTTTCTCTCTCTTTATCACTCCCTTTCTCCATCTTCCTCTTGCGCCCTGCACAAACTAACTTCACCTTCCTCTCCGGCTACCTTCGCATCCACGTCCACCTCCACCACGTCCTAGCTCACCCTCCAGGGACGCTAATGTCGAGCTAAGTCCTTAAAACCCCTCAGCCGGAGGCCGGCGAGCCCGCAGACCGGAATGGCCTCCATAAGTAACCGGGTTTACACACCCCAAGACCCTATTTCTCACCGTGGAAAAACTGCAGTCAGCTCCGTTGCGAACGCCCCCCCGGTTCGCTACTCGAACCACCCTATAGCTCCGGTCTCGCCGATGCCGGATTGCAGATTCCGCCGGCGGGCCACGGTATCGACAGCCGCACCGAGACCGAACGACGCTCTCAAAGAAGATTAGGAAGATGAGCGCGGTGAAAAACGATGGAAATCTTTTCCGACGACTGCTTCGGCCGGTCCGGCCGTAGTCAGTTTTCGTTGGGCCACGGTTCAAACCGAACAGCGCAATGCGATCTTCGCGCGCCATTTGATTTCACATCGATCTCGATCGATAGACTCTTACCGGTCTCGCGTAGATTTGGAAGGATACTAGACATCGAAAATTTGAATTCCGTCGTATTTTTCATAGTTTCGTAGAAAAATCGTTTTTACGTAATTTGATGATTTAATACCTTTAGCGATTTATATTTTTCAAAAATATACCAATGTAGAAAATAATTGTCGTATAAAGTCACGTACTGAAAATATTGAATAAAATTAAGAAATAGTTACGAGGAATTATTTGCACAATTATTTACGTTGCTTCAAATTCCTTACGTTGATTTGAAGTTTGTTTTACGTACGTAAACCAGTTTTCCACCGAATCTTATTTCATATTATTTCCAGATTTTTAAATACGAAGAAATCAAATTTTTTTAAAATTGTAATAAAGAACAATTACAATTGGTACGTAAATGCTCAATTACCAAAAAACAAAAAAAAAATAATATTGACGATTAATTAGATAACCGGAGCATCGCTGAATGCAATCAAAATGGAGAATCAGATAAGGAAATACAAGTCGTGTCGCTGTGTGGGAAGATTTTCGAACGATATCGAGGGTGCAAGTACTACTGTCCTACCTCACGACGAAACTTTCCTTTAGTGACGCTGCTACTTTCACTTTTGCTCGTAATGTTTATGCAGAACACCGAAGAAACTTTCTTGAGGTGCAAGTGTACCGGTAACTGCAACGGTGAACGTGGCGCGCGGGGGATGAAAGGGGCGCAAGAGGGGTGCACCGCGAGTATACACAGTGACGGAAGAAAGTTTGAATCGAATATCCGTAAAAGAGGTATTAAATCGATAAGTTTGTCGGGAGTCTTGTCACTTTTGATCCACGTCGATTCTCATTTTTAACGTTTAATTAGTGGCGAGTGATTTAGATCGACGTAATGATATGATAATGATCGATGATCTATGCAAAAGCATAACTCTTTTTGTGTACTTGCTTCTTTCGTTTCTTCCAACATTTTTTACTTTCAGAGTGCTTTTTCCTCAAGACTCTTGTTGAATTATTTAAATAAAAGAATAAAAACATTTTTACCATTTTATAAAATGTTATAGAAATATCGTAGTTTATTATATGTTTATATCGACAAATCGAAGACTCGCAATTGAAATATGTTATAACAAACATTGTGTTATAAATAACAATTCGCACCTATTGATTAACAGTACACCGTAAGTAATATTTCGTGTTTATTAAAATGTTTTTAGAAACGAAACAACGAGCAACATCGACAAGCATACAGCAAGGAAAAGATATACTGGCATCGCTTCTGACAAAATGAAGCAACGTCGAATAAAAAAATCATACCTTCTGTACCATTTTGTAATGCGCAAATTACGTTATCGTTCGAAGGAAATAGCATTGATCTAAATAAAAACTTGATCTCGATGAAACGTAAAATAAATATAGGCGACTTCGAATTAATCAGCCATCGATTTTATCGAAAATTAGAAAATTCCGAAAAATGTCCCTCTCGATACGTTCTATTTTCGCCATAATTCCATAATTCATCTATAAAACGAACCAATCCTTAAAATCCATATCCATAAAGAACACGTCCAATCCAATGAAAACCAAAGGAAGCAAAAAGGAAAGATTAAACCCGAAAAGAGTTGAAACGCGCGCGACGTACGTATTCGAGAGTGAACAGGCCACATCAGAGGACGGAGAGCGGTTTAATATAGCCGGTTTCTAAGCAGCCATTAAAATGCTCAGAGACGTGTACGAGGCCAGTATTACCGCGCGTCCGTCCCGTCTGATCATACCTTTGAATCCGGAGGACGACTGCGATGACGGGCCGGGGAGAGAGGGCTTTATACCCGAAAGGGAGATCCGTCGAAATCGTGCGGCAGCGTGAAACGCTGCTCTCCTTAAAGGTACCTACAAGCGATACCAATATGTCCGTCGTCGCGTCGTTAGTGACGTTACTGGATGAGCAAGCACGGAGAGAGAGCCCGGAGGCGTTGAATGCCCAGAGGCCCGTAGGATATGAGACTCTGTTGGCCGCAGGATCCTCCGCAAGAGCCAGAGGAACCAACTCGATGGAACGTTCCTCTACCTTCGGCAAAGTGTATTGACGGCTAGAGCGACGTTCCAGCTTACGCTAAGCGGCTGTCCTCTCTACCATTTACGCCATCCCTCTTTCTCTCTCTGTACAGGGTGTACGGAAAATTGCGATACAGTTCGAAAAGGGATGATTCTTTGTAGAGAAATATAAGACACAAGCGAGAGATACAAGTATTCGTACGGTTGCGGCGTAGAAACAAAAAGAGATTTAATTTTCGTTTAATTTTTGAGAAATATTACACCGTATTTCGTATCTGACAATGTTCTCATCTCGTCTCTAGCGATTCGCATCGTTGAATTTAACAATGTGAAATTCTAAAAGATATAGTGAAACGTCAATAATAATTATTCGCGCTGTGTATCATTTTTGTCTCTAAATATATGTTTCCGGCAAACATGTATCTTGTCATTTTTATACGCATTTTCCAATTTCCTTCAAATTTGGCCAATATAATCGTTCCAGTCGTGCCTCGCTACAATGGGCGAAATTTCAATTGGACGAACGAAATATTTGACACGATACAATGTGGACTCTTCTGTATTAAGCGTGCGAATACTCCCTAGAGGCGATGTACCTTTCTCGATTTTCTCGAAAACGAGAATTCGTATCAAAAATTGTCATTCTCCTTTTCCGACTTACTTCATCACCCCCCTTCCGAGTCGTACCACGATTTACCGTACACCCTGTATGTCTTCTATCCTCCTCCTTTTCTTCATCTATCTATCTGGCCGTCTTTGTCTCGCTCGACCGCACGAGTGTGTACTCGAATCTTAGAACGTTGGATGCGTGGTCCATGCATGTGTTTGGGTACGTGGGTGCACGCTATTCCAGAGACACGTACACATACAGAGGGACGTGGAACGAGCACGTAGCGGAGATTCACGTATACCTACACACCTATAGGATCGTGGACGAGCGCGTGCATCCGTCTCGTAGGTCTCATAGGTCGAACCTCCTAGGTTCGTGCTGGAATTACGTCACGCTGCGCCGTGGAGGATAGGGCACGGCAAAGTGGAGATAGGACGGGTCAAGACGCTCCTATCGCCTCGGATGGCTTCGAAAGGGTTAAAGCGCTGTCGTGACCTCCTTCTTCCCCGTGCTCGTTCGACGAACTTGCGCGAGAGCAGAAACTTCTTCACCCGACCGGCCGGATTTTCTTCGAACTGACATGACGCGACGCGGGCCTTTGGGAACCGACCACGGTTCCTCTGCTTCCCTCGGCCCCGCTTGCCCTTAAAGAGATAACAGCGACGACACAGTGGCTTTTGTTTTACGGCAGATTACTGCAATCGCGCGTCTCAGTTGTGTAATGGTATTCTTCTTGGAGGTGGCAGTAGACGACGGTGGGTAAATCGACGATTGGATCTGCTGATGCGATCAACTTGGTGAAAAATGAACCGACTGTTGAGAATTAGCGAATACGTCACTAGCGAAATTTATACTCGAGTAGTATAGAGAGACGTGCTGTGGGACGTGTGTAATCGAAAGTCGAAATTCATCTAAGAAAATACTTTAACGAATACGTTGATCAAAGGGACTTACCACGATATATTTTGTATTTGTCATATTTTTATTCTCTTCAATTACTCTCAAAGTAACTTTGCTCGTATTCTTCGTCGTTCATCTAGAATATTGTATCGTTTCTCTAAAACATCGGTTTCTATTTCTTTACGAGTCAATTAATCCTTAACAAATCAATCGCATGCGCATTGCTTAGACTATCGATAAGAAAAGAACATATAGAGTGTTACATTTTTTTACCATCTACTCCATACGCATAATGATTAGAATGTTTTGAAAATGATAGAAGTGTTCTATGTTATTCATAAACGTAATTATAAATAATATAAATAACTCAACTACAAATGATAAAACGTAATTATAATTTAATAATATAAATAATTGTAATAATTCGCAGAGGTGTTTCTAAATTTATGTACAGGAATTTTCTCCTCTGTCCAGTTCTTTACGATTTTTATTGAATCGACGCAGTCTCCATTCAGGTTGCTGTTTCGTACAAGATGTAATGATAAGCTTAACAGAATTAATTTTGTTACACGCGACGCACGTTGCTGGACGTTCCCTAATTATAAGATATGAATGCGTGTAGTTACTCTTGAATGCTCGTGAATTACTCTCACTTGCCAATGCGTATATTACCGTTGCTAGGAAAATTTAGCGTTTTCTATCGAGTAATGTAATATATTACAGTATAAATATTCTCTTGTTCCACTTATTCAAAGTCGTGCATTTTGCCAAGTACTTAGACACGAGTAAAGCAAAGTTTCCAGTCGGACGATGACTAATTATTAACGTCTGTTAGAAAATTAATAAAAAGAAATTGCGCGTATTTTCTTCAAATCTGTCCGATATAGCGTACAATTTATGATATCGGCTATAAGCTGTCATAGAGTTAGGATTAAAATACCGGACATTAAATTAAATTATCAAGAGTTCAGATCAAGTTAACAAACTTTATGGTACGATATTTCAATTTGTAAAATGACGTAACTAAAATGATTCGAGATCATACTAGATAGATAAGTAGATTGAGAGCAAGTTTTATTTTAATCTAAAACATAAGACGTAGAAACATAAAAATTTATTGAACTGTAGCCACGTAAAAACGGTACACTTCTACATACCAGAACGCAATCCAAAAACCGACGATTAAATCGTACAATAGAAAGCATGCCAAAATTGACCCACAAAGCGTGTCGTAAATTATCTCGCCCTAATTTCATCCCCGAATATGCATTCACTCGGACGCACCGAAACACTTGCCAACGAAACCTCATTCCCGAAAAACGAGCCCCACCCTGGAGCCAGCGGAGAAGCAACAAAAATCATCGCGGTTTCGATGTCCTCGATTCGAAACAAGCACGCAAGTTCGAACGCAGAGCAGGGGAGAGAGAGAGAAAGAGGGAGAGAGAGAGAGAGAGAGAGAGTCGACTCGAGTCCACGGCGATCGATCGAATTCGGTTTCGCGGCGAGCCGGCTTTGCCGAAAGAAACTAACGTAACGAAGCGATTACCATTTCGACGCGACGAATCCATCCAACGATTTTCGCCCGAATATCCCAGGCTCGAAGCTCGCGCAAGGCGAAAGGTCAGCGCGTGTCAGTGAAACGAAGTTCGCGTTCGTGCCGTTTCCATTAATGGCGACAGACGCGCGCGGCCACCTTAGTGAGGAAGCCACGCACACAACGTGCCCAACTAACTAACTAACGAGCGAACGAATGCGATTCGAGCCAATGCAATTCCAACGAATACAAACGAACGAGCCGACGAGAAGAAAAAGAGAAAGAGAAAGAACGCACAAAGGTCGCAGGAACGTTCGTTGCTTGTCTTCCCCCGCAATGACTAATGAGACGGTGATGGTTAAAGGGAAATACGCCTGAATTGTACTATTCAATTTATTTGAATTGCGAGTGACAAACGGCGACGTATGGCAAAAGTTCGTTTGAAGTTTCGTGTATCGGTCAACGGTAATTATAATAAATATGTTATAATTACGATGGTATTATATTCGTATAATATCACGTTCAAATTTTCCACAGATACATTCAAAATCCGTCGCTTATTCGTGTCTTTCAAAATTTCATCAATAATATTAGTTTAATTAAATGCAAAAGGGTCCTGGGACACTTTTACGCACGATACCGCGATAGATCGAAATATATCACGCCATAATATCTAATTTTTGTAAAATGCATCTTATTTGTGAAGTTTTTAATGGTTCCTAGGTAGCTCACTTTTCCGTTTGTCTCTCCGTCTACGTGGAATTTTGTAAATGAAACTTTTATCCACTTCACGATCAGCTAGGAAGCTGAACTTTGAGACATGTTGCTCGCTTCCGATGACAATAGAACGTAATTTCAAAAAATTGATAACTAACATAAAATCCTGACACGATCGTATTGCAGTAGTTTAGTTGCAATCTTAGCGCTTTCAAAGACTCTCTAATTGATCAAATAGATCTCAAATTCATGATTTCAGTCAAATATTCTTCCAGTTTTACCTCGCAATCATTAGAGAATCGTCTTCCTTGGTTTTGTTAGAAATTCTGCATCCAAAATGTTCATCCAAGAGAACGGAAGAGCCGTTGGCCGAACGGATGATACATCGCGAGGTTCTTGCAATTAGATCGTTTTTATTTTCAGTAATACGAGTTCAACGATCGAATGATACTCTATTACATACTTACCGCATATATATATACTCAACGTATACAGGTTCCCTGTATATTACTGTTACACTCAATTACACAATGATACCTAACAATGAAAATTATTTTCTTCCTTTTAGTATTTTTTAAAATAAAAACCACTAAGAAATTTTTTTCAATTTATACTCTTTTTCTGTCATTGTGATCTAAATCATTCGCATCGTCGAAAATATCTCTAGTCCATGAAACTTATTGTATTTCAATCATTCGAAAAGATTTTGCAAAATCTGGGTCACCGATGAGAACCGTGACAGTTAACGTGACAACTGGTATACTAACAACGTAGCCCCCTGGTTCTCGATGGCGAAGAGGATTACAAAGCGGAAGGAGGGTTACGAATCAGAGGGGCTGGGCCGCGGTAAAAGTGTGTCTCTGTGACACGAGGGCTGACGTTTTGTTGCTGTTCCCCTCGATACCCTTCCCACCTCGTGCTCGCCCTCCACGTGGCCCCACTTTCAACCCGCCCAACGTCACTCAGACGTGAGGCAGGTTAGGGTTGTCTGGTAGGGCGGTAGGACGAGTCAGCCGATGTGTAAGGGGGTTTTACGACCCTCGACTCGTCGGCCTGTGGATGGGGTTTCCCTTCGTTCCCCTCGGTCCACAGCTGTCTACGTTCTACCCCTTCGTATCTATCCCCTTGTAGGTCGACACAACGGGCTCCATTGGGGTAGGTCATGCTGGCCCCATTATTATATTACACGAGGAATGGAGCGACCCTGAGCAACTCCTTAGCATGGTTATGGCCGACGGCGGTGGCAAGATTTTTTCCTTCTTTCCGCCTACTCTGCGATTTCGTGAAGTTTGCGTTTGAGAGGAGAAGAGTCGGAAGTTTTCCAGGAAGTCCGGTAATGCGGTTATTGTTGAACGAATGGTGAAGTTTGCGAAATGTAATTGGAGTTTTGGCTTAACGACGTTAACGTCTTTTGATGCCTTTAAGTAGAATTATTCCGTGATCAAGCGAACGCTAATGTCTGTGTTTATGTTGAATTTATGTAGAATTCTATAGAATTAAATTCGTTAAGAGGATTTTTGTAGATAGGCGTTTCTGCCTTTGTTTGTGTTTATAGTATTTAAGAATTATGAAATAGGTTCTACAAAGATTTGTATAAAGGAGGATTAGTTGCACTTATTATTCAAAATTAACACAATTATGCTAAATGAATACAATCATTTTTTAAACGATTATTACAATTCTTGGAATATCGGTTCGTAGGTTCGATTACGTATGTAACAAAAATGTAATACAATTTTTCTTGAATTGTAGAATTGTTTTATTCCATTAGCGATTCCATTCTTCCATAAAATTCTCTATAATAACTCGTGTCACTATGATTATGTGGCATTTAAATTTATCAATAATGACCTTTTTACGTTAGAGAAAATTGTTTGGTTTTTTCTCTAATTTAATTATTCAGCAATTTAGTCGCTTTGTATTTCGTACTTGTATTTCGTTTATTTTAAACCGACAGCTCTTTCGTGTTAATATTAATAATTAAAAATAACCTATTAAAATGCTTAGTACAATATTTTTATTTCTCCATTCAATCAGGATTATTTAATCCTGTAGAGTAATAAATTTAAACGTACATGTATGTGTCAGTGTCCTTCGGAAGTTATAATATTAGGTTGTCCGGAAAGTGTCTTTCTTTCGCAAACATGTTTTTTACAACAGTGCACCTTCGTAGAAACGAGAGACCAAGTCTGTGAAATGTCGCGGTGTTTATCTCAACAGAAGAAAATCGATCGTACGTAATTCGACGAAATAATATAAAACGAAAAACGTTGTACGTCTACTATTTCCTCATAAAACGAAAGAAACTTTTCGGACAACCTAATAAGTAAGTAGTAAATGAATAATGCAAAGAGTACAGACAATTTTCTTTGGCAAGCTATTTTAACCGGACGATTTACACTGTCCTCCGCTAATCTCTCGCTAAAACTCTATTAAGTTCCCTTAAAAGCTGTCGTTGAAAAAACTCTTTCCAAAGGCTCGTTCAGAAACTCTGCAACTAGACTCTTTTCCTAAACTCCAGCCAAAGATTCTTTTTCTATGATGTACCTATAAGTAGGTACTATAATCCACGAACGCGTTATACAGATTCATATCTGTAACATAGTTATATATTTTTAGATGTATGCACAAATTCGATTTTGCTTATAGCGGTTAATCAACGATAAATTTATAATGACCTATTTTTTTCGTAAAACTTCGATTCTCCTGTAGAATAAAATTTTCTTTGCATGTAAAAATAAATTTACATATTAGCTGCTACTTATTCCTTTCGTGACGGAAATTTCCTGCTTTTGTTTCTTAATTTCTTAGATTCTAATCACAAACTATACATTTGTTTCTTCATGTATTGTATTCATACATTTTTTCCATATATTGCTAATAATAGATCTAATTAATAACAAGAATTTCTTGCAAGAAATCCTTTTAGTTATCTCTTTCGCATGTTCACTACGTGTTCTTTGTTTATACTCTATCGATGGAGCCATTTTAACTTTTTATTAAATGTACACAAATTCATTCAATTACAAGCGAAATGTCACGAGCTGTGAAATTAAGTAACGCCAAGAAAAAGCATTTATTCGCGAAATAATTCTCAACGTTTCAAAATTCTTTTCCAGACGTTCCAAAATTCTTTTGCTTATAATAAAGGAACAATCTTGTCTTCGTATCTACATTACATTTTTAACTACTACTCTACTACAGAACGTTCTAATTTCCAAAAAAAAGACCTAAAGGTAGTGAAACGAAATTTTGGTGCACGAAATATTCAAATTCCACTCTATATTCATAATATTATTTCCCAAATCGCTAATAGAAAATAAGAACACTAAAAGAAGACTCGACGATCCCTTCTACGTTTCCCGAGAAACTTCATTTACAAAGAACCGTCCTTTTCTCCGCGTATCTCCTTCTTTCTCGGTGTGACGCGTTCCACTTTAACGCCAAACAGGCTGAACTTCATCGAAGAAAAATCGCGCGCGGTAGAATCGATGAGGGCGGCGACTCGGTCGACCCTGTTTCTTTCAGCGGAATTTCATGAACGTCGGGCGAACGCTATCGAACGTGCCAATTCATGGCGTACGCCGGGAAAGAAGTGCAAAGATGTGCAGGAGAGACAACGACTGGAAAACTACGAAATAAATAAGGACAAAAGAAAGGAAACGCATAAGAAGACAAAGAGAATAGGAAAGGCAGAGAAAGAGCGAGGGGAGAAAATTTTTCGGACGTCTTGCTCGACCTTTCACAGCTAAATTGCCGACGACGAGGGATAAAAGTTTGGCGTGGCGGGCAGAAAACTCTGACTGGTAACGAGACGTGGAACAACGAATTCCGATGCAGAGTGATACACGGTCCTGGCCCAACGCCAGGGTTTACGCTGCAAAATTGCACTTCCACCTCGGCCCTCCGCCACCACCGACCCTCTTTTTCACTCCCCGCCTCTCCTCCCTTTTCGTCTCTCGCTGTTTCGCCGTCTCCTCGATAATGCAACCTGCCGAGATTCCGCTTATCTACGACACCGATGCCTCGTAGGCCACTGTTCGCCACGGTTTCGACGCGGTTGCACGAAATTCGGGCATTATCTCGGCCCCCTTCCAACCCCCGACCAACCCTCTCGACCCTCGCTACACCACCGTCCGCAGCGAATATACGCGACGAAGATGGATCGTAATTTGAATGCAACCGCACGAGGCTCACTGATTTCGTTCAAGGACAAATTTCGCAACTTTTACGAGCTGAACTTCCCGACGATAAATTGCGGGTACTTTCGCGGAAATCGCTTTGGAATACGAGCCGTGTCGCGTTCTCAGCCGGATTAAACGAGGTTGGTGATTGGCCTCGTGCAAACGAAGAATTGTCAGTGGTTAAGGGAGGGAGGGGGTTATTATGTAATGTTAGGTGCAATTTCGGCATGAAATTGGCACTTTCAGAAGCATTGATGTCGTGATAGTTGGACGTCTTTGTGTAAGTCCTTGCGCTATTTACATTCTTATACGGATTTCTAACAGTGTGATAGTTTCTTACATTATTTTACAATATCAAAATTTAGAAAAATGTTCGTATAGCTCGCTTTAACAATTTCGTTATTGGTAATTTTAACATATCGATTCTGGTGTTTCAATTCGTTAGCACGTTGCAGAAATAGTTCATTCTTCGACTTTCTCTACGTTTTTCATGGAAATCTTAGGGACTGGAATAGCTGAGATTCGAATTCTTCTCAAAGTCTGAATTTAGTCTAACATTCAGTCGATAGAATTTTGATCAAGCCTGCCACCGTTCGCAGAACTCAATTTGCAAAGGAAGTTTCATCGTTGAGTAGAGAAAATCCAGTGTCAACTGCGAGATAATACTCAAATTCCTCTCGAAGATATTGTCGTCATTGGCCCAGAATTATGACACATCGTGCATGTGGTGGAAAGTTTTGTAATTTCCCTTCGTCGTTCTCCGTTACAAATGTGGCCCGACTATCTAAAGTCCTAACGGAGTTGCTGGAATTATTCCTAAACTTGCGTTACTATGTATTTAAATAGTACCAAAAATTCCTTTGGTATCTTCCTACACCACTGCATTACAAAATATTAAATACTCCTTCTTACAAAATATGTCGTATCGCAAAAGGTTAATAAACACTTCTTCAGTTAAAATATAAGCCTTTCATTCTCGTAAAAAATTAAATATACAGGGTGGTTGGTAACTGGTGGTATAAGCGGAAAGGGGGTGATTCTACGCAAAAAAAGAAGTCGAATATATAGAATAAAAATGTTTCGTTTGAGGCTTTGTTTTCGAGAAAATCGACTTTGAATTTTCGATCGGTACGCGTGCACTTTATCGCTTCTCGTTGTAACGGATCTCACTGTAGATCGTTGTCTCGATTGACGTTATTTTAAAAATTTTAAAATTTTAAAATTTTGAAATTTTAAAATTTTGAAATTTTGAAATTTTGAAATTTTGAAATTTTGAAATTTTGAAATTTTGAAATTTTGAAATTTTGAAATTTTGAAATTTTGAAATTTTGAAATTTTGAAATTTTGAAATTTTGAAATTTTGAAATTTTGAAATTTTGAAATTTTGAAATTTTGAAATTTTGAAATTTTGAAATTTTGAAATTTTGAAATTTTGAAATTTTGAAATTTTGAAATTTTGAAATTTTGAAATTTTGAAATTTTGAAATTTTGAAATTTTGAAATTTTGAAATTTTGAAATTTTGAAATTTTGAAATTTTGAAATTTTGAAATTTTGAAATTTTGAAATTTTGAAATTTTGAAATTTTGAAATTTTGAAATTTTGAAATTTTGAAATTTTGAAATTTTGAAATTTTGAAATTTTGAAATTTTGAAATTTTGAAATTTTGAAATTTTGAAATTTTGAAATTTTGAAATTTTGAAATTTTGAAATTTTGAAATTTTGAAATTTTGAAATTTTGAAATTTTGAAATTTTGAAATTTTGAAATTTTGAAATTTTGAAATTTTGAAATTTTGAAATTTTGAAATTTTGAAATTTTGAAATTTTGAAATTTTGAAATTTTGAAATTTTGAAATTTTGAAATTTTGAAATTTTGAAATTTTGAAATTTTGAAATTTTGAAATTTTGAAATTTTGAAATTTTGAAATTTTGAAATTTTAAAAATTTTTAAATTTTTAAATTTTTAAATTTTAAAAATTTTTAAATTTTTAAATTTTTAAATTTAAAAAATTTTTAAATTTTTATTCTATATTTTCGACTTCTCTTTTCGCCCTCTTTCCGCTTGTACCACCAGTTACCTACCACCCTGTATAATACTAGAATTTCACTGAGTGCCATGTCTTACGTCTATTCCTGAGCAAATAAACAAAGATTTTTTAAATATATGTCGAAGATGTAGAGACATCGGACTCCAATATTTTGGTCTAAACTATTTATTATAGCTGTACTTAAATAATAGAACTTAGAAGTAGTTGTTACGATACGATCTGATTATGTTTGCCCGAGATTTGTGACAGTGGGCTTGGGCTCGAGGTGACACAACTGGTCGCCGAACGTAGTCACGGCCACGGAATGAACGTTTTTACTTAACAGTAGAAGTACCAATACACACGCTGTATTAACAAACAAGCCCCGGGCAGGAGAAATGACGGCTCTACGCGGGTCTGCCTAGTAACGGCGCCTGGAATTTTGTCGATATCCCCGGTCAATACGCAATTGACAAATGTGATTGTGTCAGTCTTTTATTCTTGTGATCATCTTGGAGAGTTTACACAACGTCCTGTCAGTCAGTCGGAAAGATACCGTGCATCACAGCTAACGTCACTTTGAGTTTCAAAACATATTCAATCGTACAAAGAGTTTTCCCGTTGACCGTGGATTCGTTTGAGCCTAAGAACATTGTCTTTTTCTTTAGGAGTGTCTAATTACCACGTTAAATTGTTAAACCCTGTTAAATCAACACTTGTACATATAATTGTAAATATAAACCCCATTAAACAATTACGATGGCTTGTCCTAATGAAGATACGCAACGCGCTCCCGTGACTAATGTCAACCCGATAAACCCGACATACATATAACCTATGGGTAACACATAATCTTTGAGTTTAGGTAATTTCTAACAAAAACAAAATATATATACACAAACAAACCTTAGAACTGTGACATTGTTCTTGTTAGATAGTATAATTTTATTAAATCAAACAACGATACTCTCATCCTAGCAAATAATTCGCTATCAAAGTTCATATTTGCAGATACTTCGCAAATATGAATTTTTCAGCTGGTAAATTAATATTACGTAAGTGCGAAGGCAGATGACGTTATAGAAAATGAAATTATAAATAGTTACGCGCTATAACAGCAACGATATCGTATTAAGAAACCATCGGAAACATATCGACGAAAAACCAGGAAAGAGTACGAAAGAAAAATTTAACCGAAGCGACCAATGATCAAGAAGAATGCAACATCGAGGAGTTTTGTGGTATTCTAAATAATTCAGGGCGCAGCTAGCCGTCAAAGACGGCGAACAAGAAAGAAAGTTCGCAACAGCGGCGTCTCCTGCGAAAAAGAAATGACAGACAGGAACGAAGCTGCGAACTGGTGCACCTGCGGAAAGAATAGCACGCAAAAGTAAAAGTTGCATGCGGCCACAGCGATGTGTTGCGCGCATTATCGATAGGGGGAAGGCGGAGTATAATGCTCCCGGCGCGGTCTAAGGCTTCCCCTTCGTTTCCAGCGAGTTCCAATGCAACTTCCAGTGTGTTGCAACGGAGAAGCCACCCCTCGTGTTTCCTCGGTAAACGCCATTTTAGAAATGGCAGCATCGTGCCAATTCGAAACGCATCGGCAATAATTAATGCGTTCGTTTTCTATGGAATTTTATTGCATCAAGCGATCGTTTGGAATCGAATCGAGCCCCTTTTTAAATGATACAAAATTGCCACTTTAGCTTTCTTCGTAGGATAATTGCTTCCAAGAAATGTTTGGTAGGGGATTATTCGCGAAACGAAGTAAGACGTTTCAACCGTAAGGATATGATCGAGTTACGACTGTGAAACGTTAATGAATAGGCTGCAGATCTTTGTACGCTTAGGAGAAAATCGATGATGCGATCGAAAATGCACATATGTTTGTAATCTTACTTTATGCTTCCTTTTCTTTTTCTTTCTTCTTCTTTTTCTGAAAAATCATCTGAAACGACTTTGGCGAAAAGTAGAAACATTGTCTATCGTAATCGAAGATATTTGAATATCATACGTTATAACGCGACGACGTAATATAACGATATAAATTACTCTTCCTTTGATACGTGTAAAATTTATTTGTACAAAGGGTGTTACTGGAAAAGCAACAAGAAAATTGTGATAATGTAGTTAAAGAAGTAGGTAATTCAGAAAGCAAAATCTTAGCCTTTGCGTCAAAGGATGAAGCTATAACACTCTTAAAGTGAAGAGGAAGTTCTGCTTCTTTATTAATTCAAAGGGATAAAGTTTAAGTATTTCGAAAACTTGCATGATCTAAATACGCAAAGGTACGTAATTCTCGTTTCAAATGAATCCAACAAATAGCAAAGTAAATTAATATGATTTGCGATTGAAATCGAAATTAGCCGAATCCATCGTTATCGTAACTACGAGACTCTGTGAAAATAATGCGAGTGCTTCGTTTGCTAGATAGCTTTTTCTCTTGCACCGTTATGAACGGAGAAGTGTTTTCCACTCGTGAAACGCTTGCTAGAAATACTGTTGCGAACAAGCAAGAGTTTACGAGTGAAGCAAATTTTCTTTATCTACAAACTTCGGAATTGTCGGCGAGCCACTTTTCCACTCGTCGAGGTAAACGACAATGAAATAAATTGAACGCTGGTCTCACCGATAATCCAATTCATTCGCTCAGTCTATAAATCTAATGGAACTTTATGGTAAACGCAGGAATCTAGTTTTTTAATGGCCCATAGAAAGTAAAGACGAGTGGTCGATGAAAATTTACTAGTCACGATATTACGATAGTTTTGTTGAAAGTTTATGATGAAATTCTCTACGTGTTTAGAGAACGTTTACTTTACTATATCCTTACAAAGTGTTCCACAGTATTCTTACTTTATTAAGATTTAATATTTCGTGCGTAAGAACATAATCTTCTTCTCTCTTACGCTCAGCTATTTACTGTCAAACAAAATCTGGTCTAAAAATAAGTACACCAATTCGCATTAATATTTGGACATACCGTACTATTTCTGTATCTGTTGCTTTCTACAACACTGTTAAAAATCTCTCGTACAATTAAACGCTTTTAAGAAGAAATTATTTACATATTTTCAAACTACAATAAACGGTTCGTATTCTTTTGTACAAAGCAACAAACCGTGTCCGAATATTAATGCGACTAACTATATCTATGAATATATAGGAAATATTCTCTATTTGTATAATACAAATATAAGACAATAAGGACGAATAGAAAGAATTTCGAAAAAAAAGTCGACGAAAATTCGATTTTCTCGAGAACGAAAGCATCGGGTATTGTTTAGGCATCCGAATCTTATCGCAGTGAGATTAAGTTGCCGATAGAGAGAAAGGAGAATCATGGAGGTAGGACGCCGACGTGGGTATGCTAATGCAAGAGTAGCCTTCTGGGGCCTCGGAGCCACAGCCAACACGCGTTCCTGACCCGACGCTGTCACGACTTTAGAACAATGGCGTCGATATACATGTCTCATTTATATACACGTATTCCTCGATACGGCGTACCGCGGTGCACAACGTTCGCGTACCACGGACCAGAGAGATCTTCCTCGAACCCTCCGCCCGATAAAATCCCAGGAATTGAAATCAATTCGGCGAGAGCCGGGTCATCCATGATTTAACGCCCCGCTGATACCGAACAGTTCGAATTGTTTCGTTCGAACGTCTTTTTTGCTTGCAATGCGTCACATCGAACCAGGATAAGTTTGCTGGTAGAATATATAACGATTCGTTTACAGGTATTTCACTTCTATTTCTTCTTCTATTTTTCTTTTGTGAAGTAGTTTCACTGTGAGAGGATTTGAAATATCGAAGTATCAGGTTATTTCGAACGTTTTTGTAGCTTTCGTTTCGTTCATTTTGTTTTTCCTTCCAGCGGTTTCTATAATATTCGATATACGTTTTTTTGATAATATACAGAAGAATATTAATTTTCTGTATTGGACAGATATTATTCGAATTTCTAAGAGAAAGAAACCGTAGAAAACTATTCTCCGTATCATCTTGTTTTGTAAATCGGAAAGGTAATTTCAACGCTTTTTAAGTCTATCTTGCTTGACTAAACGATCAAACACCTTATTTTCATTTATTATTTTAACGTTAAACGCACATAAGTCGAAAGAAAACTTAACGACGTATACGATTCCAATATCGATTCGATGTAAATCAATATCTGTATAGAAAAGAAAAAATTGCTAGTGGAAGTCCAGATCTTCCTGATCCTGTGAAAAAGAGAAGTCGAAGAAAGGTAGGAGATTCTGCAACTCGTTAACTGGTTACTCCCGATTACTAACAACGTTCTTACGGTGCTTGGAAACGTAGCATCAAAGTTACCGTAAAAATTTTAATAAGCGGTGCCCAGCGGGGCAATCCTACGAAGTTAGACAAGCGCCTATCGATTCCTTCGACAGGGAAGTTTCCCTTAAAACGAGGAACGAAAAAGAGAAGAGAAGACGGAGGAGGAGCGGAAAAAGTGTTCTTCGTTGCACTGAGAAACTGGAACGTGCGATCAGCTTATTATAAGTCAACCGAGGAAGAAGGCCACGACTGAAAAGTTTGAATCCTCCAGCTAAGAACGTTTCTGGGACAAGGGACTCTTGAGTAAACTCAGCCTGCAAGGAACTACCTGGTTCCAGAAGCGTCCATGGTTAACGAGCCTGAGCACCAGACATTTCGATGGACTCTCCTTTCGAATTCAATAAACTCCGATTTGCTTCTTTTCTTAAACAACTCGATCGCAATCAGGATGGGGACATCCATTCACTTTGCGTTACCTTTTAACTGGTTCTGTCTTTAACTTCTTTCTAAGCTCCCATTTATCGTTATTACGTCGTTATCGAGATTTTATGCACTATCGTTATACCGCGGATTTTTATGCATTTATGAGAGATGTAATGCTGCAAACAAAATATCCTATCAGAATGCATACACAGGTACATGGTACACGGATATGTAGAAAATAAATGAAGCGCAGCAGTTGTTACAATTTTTAATTAGTAAACTGAATCTCGTTAAACGTGTATCCAAAAATACCACTTTGCATAAAGTTCCACGGTCGACTTATTACGTTGCTTAACGTCCTAACTAGTGGAAAACCTTGTCTATGATCAAACATTCTCGCATCGATAATAAAGCATTATTATCAATCGAATTATCAAATTGGATTCGCGTTCGAAGTTAGTTTCCCGATTCTGGAGCGTTCATTCTCTCGTGATTGCACGTGTCACAGAGGAAAGAACGTCCTTGGACGATATTTAATTCGGCGATGGCGACAGCGTATTCGACGACTTTTGGCAAACGTTCTTTCTTTCGAAAATATCAGCCACGTTTGCCAGACGGAAATACGCTTGGCTCTGGGATACCCAGACGCGTAGATAAAAGAAACAAACGGATACGAGGCAGGGAAAATGAAACGAAGAAATATGAGAGACAGAAAAACCGTGCGGGACCGTGACGAGGAAGCTCTGCAAGATGGAGGGAGAGAAGAGGAAACGCGGATGGAGTGTATACGT